GCATCGCGGACAAAAGCTCGAGATCCCCAAACACGGAGCACAGACGCAAGCACCCCTAGGCTCCGCACCCCCAGGTACAGCACCCCCAGCCTCAGCACCCTCAGCAGCACCAGAGTCACCAGTGACCTCGACAGGCTCGACTGCGTCTACCTGGGACACACCTGAAGGGGCAGGACCCTGAGGGGGGAGGGGGTCTACCTGGGGGGGACCTGGTACCAGGAAGAGTGGGGGTGGGGGGAGGGACGGAGTGCGGTAGGGGAAGAGGCGGTAGTAGGGGACCGACTCGTCAAACGTGACGTCCTGGGAGGACAGAACACGGCGAGAGGTGGGGTGGTAAAACTGCCACCCAGGCGCGTCAGGGGGGAACCCCAGGAAGACGCAAGGAGCAGCACGAGGGGATAGTTTGTCCGCAGACCGGTCGCGGACAAACGCCCGAGATCCCCAGACCCGGAACGCCGACGCATCGCCAACCTTCCCCGTCCACAGCAAGGCTGGGGAGGTCTCCGGCCTGGAGACCCTGGGGTGGAGGTTGATCTGATGCGCCGCGTACCTCACCGCAAACGGCCACAGAAAATGGGGGGCAGCCGCATGCATCATAGACGTACGAGCGACGTCCATGACCATGCCAATGCGGCGCTCAGCAATCCCATTTTGCTGCGGTGAGTCCGGAAGCGTGAAGGTCTGACGGATGCCCCGTGCACGACAGTAGGCACGCAGAAGGCCAGAGGAGAACTCTCCGCCTCTGTCCGAGTGCAGACGCAGAACAGGAAAGTCCGAGCCGAAGCTCTGCCTGAGCTGGAGACGAGCTGCGCGGATCCAGTCGATCAGCACCTCAGTGACATCACCCTTGCTGCGCAAGGGGAAGACTGTGGTGTAACGCGAGTAGTCGTCAACAACGAGCAGGAAGTAGCGCTCGTGACCCTGTCCACGGACGCGGGCTGGGCCCCACACGTCCATGTGAAGTGTCTGCAACGGGGCCTCTGTCGAAGGAAACTGGGAGGAGTGAGGGGCAGCACGCTGGCGCCCCTCGACACAGGGGACACAGGCAGGGCCAGGGCCCTGAGGAAGGGGAGGGAGGGACCGGGGGAGACCGGACACAAGAAGACGGGAGGCCATACCTCTGAGCCGAAGCAGAGAGGGGTGGCCAAGGCGGTGGTGCCAGAGGAGAGTCTCGTGAGACAGGAGACGACACGAACAGGGGGCAGACTCAGGACCAGACCTGGACGCCGCAGCAAACACCTGACCCGACGTAACTACCCTACCAGACTCAGCAACTGGAGGAGACGCAGTGGTCAGAGTGTACAGGCTCGACCCCGGCTGACGGGTGAACGTAGCCAGGTGTCGGCCTGTGCCAGCCTCTGTACAGTGGGTCACTCGCTGACGTGCAGGAGTGAACTGGTGGACACCCGCATCCTGTAGGTCAGCACCACTCACCAGGTTCGTCGAGAACGAGGGGAGGTAGAGACCAGACAGGGTGCCAGAGGGAGCCGCCGGACACGGGAGGACTGTGGAGAAACGAGACAGGACCGGACCCCCAGAGGGGTCAGCCAGAGACACCGCAACCGGCCGACTAAGCGGCGTGAGTGTGGTGCGGTCCCGAAAGAAGGAGCGAGACGCCCCAGAGTCAAGAGTGAAGGTGAGGGAGGCCGAAGCCGACGCGGTACCTGAGAGAGCAGACTCACCAGTACCTGAGGACGCAGACACACCAGCACCTAGAGCAGCAGCGTCGTAAGCACCTAGGGCAGCAGCCTCACCAGTACCTAGAGCAACAGTCTCAATGCCCGGATCGGGCTGGAAACACCGGTAACAGTCACCCTCATCACTAATAGACACAGCATACATGGCAGAGAGAATAGCATCAAAGTCCAGATCAAAGATGGCAACCCCCGCCCTAAACAGCTCGTCCCAGCGAGGGATCTCGGAGGCCTCCGGGAACTGGTGACGCCATGCGTCCGTCAGGCGGCCAAAGCAGCGCGGAGTGGGGTGCGCACCCCCACACTGCTCACCCGCACGGTCGCCGGTGCGCAGGACGTAGGTACACGGACCAAAACCCCCACCCCGCTGGCGTGCAGTGTACCACTCACGGAGCTGCTGAGGGGACAGGGTCGCACGACCACGCTGCTGCTGCTGGCGCGAGCCACCACCGGAGCCACTCCTCTGCAAAGACCCGCGACCAGCTCCACCGCCACCCCCACCGCCTCCACCGCCTCCGCTGCCTCCACTGCCGCCACCGCCTCCACCGCCTCCTCCACCGCCGCCTCCTCCGCCACCTCCGCTACCACCGCCACCGCCGCCGCGGCCTCCGCCTCCACTGCCGCCACCGAACCCCCCACCCCCACTTCCACCTCCACCGCTACCCCCACTCCCCCCACTGCCTCCACCTCCACCTCCACCGCCCGCTCCTCCAGCTCCCTTGCCCCCCTTGCCCTTGCCAGGGCGGCGTCTCCCGCTAGGGGCAGACGCCGCACCGACCGACTCAAGACCAAGGAGGTCGGCCGAAGCAGCAGAGGCAACAGAGGGCAGCAGGGGGGAGGGAGAACACCCCTCAAAGATGGGGGTGCGCGGGTCACCTCGAGAGGCTCCTACAGCGACTATGCTCTTTTCTATCGCGAGGAGGGCCTTCTCGAGGAGGTCTACAGTGAGTGTGGTGGGACAGACTGAGAGAAAGTGGTCCCTGACTACTCGAAGGGAGTCAGGGAGGCGAGTGACTAGGAAGTACAGAGTGATGTACATGGGGGGGGGGTTCGCGGTGCAGAAGTCAGCAGGGAGTGCAGCGCGGTAGCGAGTGTCACTAGTGCGGAGGTGCGTAATGAGGTCAGCAACGGTGGGAAAAGAAGCAAGGTCAGGGAAGAGGTACGGCAGCATGAGACGGCTCAGTGCAGCAGTGGAAGGGGAGGAGTAGCGCGCGACTACAGCGGCGTACAAGGTCTGAGCACTCTTGTACTGACTAAAGTGCGCACGCTCGGAGGTAGGGAGGTGGCGACGCACAGCAAGACGTGCAGCAGCATCGTGCGTGGCCCATTGGGAGCGAACAGTGGCGTCAGCATCAGCAGCAGGGGCAGGGGAAGCGCCAGAGGTGAGGTCAAAGAGAGAGAGGCCGTCCGCCCTATCGCACTGTAAGAACAGCTGTAGGTCATCTACCCAGACCTCAAAGTCAATGGCCCGACCCTCAGCGTCAAAAGTGAGGACACTAGGGGTAGCCATGACAGCAGTAGACCAGCAGTGCAAGGAGTAGGGGAAGAGCACGCAGTGACAGAGGGTCTGTGCTCACCGGACAGGGCTGCTCGGGCGGCTCGGCTGCAGGGCGGCTCGGCCGCTGGGCGGCTCGGCGGCTGGGCGGCTCGGCGGCTGGGCGGTCGGCTGCACGGCGGCTCGGCTGGTGGGCGGCCGGGCGGCTCGGCTGCAGAGCGGCTCGGCGGCGGGGCGGCTCGACTGCTCTGCTGCTGGGCGGCTCGGCTGCGCTGCTGTTGGGCGGCTCGGCTGGGCCGCTGACGTAGGGCGGCGGGGCCGCTGTAGAGGAGTGGCGGGGCCGCTGCAGAAGGACGGCGGGGCCGCTGGGTAGTGAGGCGGCGGGGCCGCGAAGACGGGCGGCGGGGCCGCTGCAGAGAAGCGGCGGGGCCGCAGTGAAGTGCGGCGGGGCCGCAACGAGAGAGGCGGCGGGGCCGCAGCGAGAGAAGCGGCGGGGCCGCGAAGTCGGGCGGCGGGGCCGCTGAGTAGGGCGGCGGGGCCGCAGTGAGAGGCGGCGGGGCCGCAGCGAGAGAGGCGGCGGGACCGCGAAGACGGGCGGCGGGGCCGCTGAGACGGGTGGCGGGGCTGCAGTGAGTGGCGGCGGGGCCGCAGCGAGAGATGGCGGCGGGGCCGCGAAGACGGGCGGCGGGGCCGCAACGAGAGAGGCGGCGGGGCCGCAGAAAAGGGGGGCGACGGGCCGTAGGCGGCGCGAAGCCGCAGGTAAGGGCGGCGACGGGCCGGGGCGGCTCGAAGCCGCAGGTAGAGGCGGCACGAAGCCGCGGGAAGGGCGGCGACGGGCCTGGGCGGCGCGAAGCCGCAGGTAGGGGCGGCGCGAAGCCGCCGGTGAGGGCGGCGCAAAGCCGCGGGTAAGGGCGGCGACGGGCCGGGAAAAGGGCGGCGCGCCGCAGCCGCTAGGGCGGCTCGACGCGACCGTAAGGGCGGCGCGACGGGCCGCTAGGTGCGACTCGACGGGTCGCTAAAAAAAAAAAGGCAGGCGCGACTCGAGGCGCGCTTCGGTGGGCCCAAGGAACAGTCCCTAGGAGGGGACCTGCTCTGATTCCATGTGATAATGAGAACGAGAATGAGTGAACTATGAAAATGAAGTGAGTACAAATATGAAACCCTAATTGGTTGTACCCCCTATGGGATACCCCACTATAGCCTACACAACAGCATAAGCTATAATGTTCTGACAGCAAATACATTACCTGACGACATCCGGAAGAGTCGCGGTGGTCAACGGGTACATCAACCCAATCCTCGCTTTCCAGGCGCAGGTCTACCCTCCTCCTTCGGAAATCTGGGCGAAGCTGGTGAAGCTGCTTCACAATTTCGTCACGGGTAACCACTCGACGGCAGGGAAGCACTTCGCGCTCTGGAGTCAGGAGCTGCTGTTTAAAGCAAGAGGGGAAGGCGGGCTAGGCGTCCGGGATCCCTGTGCGGAGCTGGGGGGTCTGGCGGCCAGGAGGATCGCGTTGCTGGCGTCGCAACCACTGGGACTGCGTGCTGATCTGGCGCTCGCGGCTTTGGATGTTCCTGACCTACAGGTTTTCTGGGCCCACGCGGGGTTGATAAAGCAGTGGGAAGGAAGATGTGAGAGGTGGAAGCGGACATGCGAGCTATTCCTGGAGTCCAGCTTCCCTTCATGCATCAGCGTATCGTCCGTATGGGAGGTGGAGCAGGAGATGTTGCTTTTTAACCGCCGGCTGCTTTTGAACGGGAAGACGCCCGCGGGACGGCAGAAGGCGGCTAAGTCGTTGAAGCGCTCGGTGATGGGTGACTTAATCAAGGTTGCTGTGGACGGATCGAGAACTCTGAAAACTCCCCAGGAGCTCGAGCGGGCTTTCGGAGGTTCGGAAGGAGCGAAGCTGGCGAAGAGGGTATACGATGCTGCTCCGGATGAATGGAAGCAGTTGCTCATGGCGCCTGTCACAGCGCGCACGGTGCTAACGGCTTCTAAGTTCGTACTAAAGGCGGGGACGAGCTACGGGGTCTGGAGGATTGAGAGTGTGGAAGGCGAAACCCTAGTTTGCCGTGCCATCAAGTGTTTCAGGGGGGCCTTGGAGGAGGCTGAGGAGAGGTTGCGCAATTTTCTGCCGCACGAGGTGGTGCCTGCAGTGGTCAGGGATGGTCGGTTCCTTGGCCCGGCGGGTGCCCCCAGGGCAAGACTGCTGTGCTCCCCCATCTGGGTGGGTGATCGACCGGCGCAGCTAAGACAACTAAAGGAAGGTTTTAAGCGGTTTGGCGGAAAACCGAAGCAGCAGACCACATGGGAGGAGTCTCTCGGCCGTACGATCGACTGGGGGAGAGTGATCGGGGTACGGGATTCGTCAGCTCTGCCGAACCGTGCGCGGGATGTGATGCTCCGGATCCACAGCCGGAACCTGCAGGTGGGGGAGCGGTTACATTTCCTTGGCGCCGGAGTCGCCTGCCCGCACTGCGGGGAGAAGGAGACACTGGAGCACGGGTTGTTTCTCTGCCCGCGCATTCAGCCGGTGGTACGGGCGCTTTTGAAGGCTCTCCGCATGCTGAATCCGCATCGGAAAATTGAGTCTCTGGGGGATGTGTTTTTCAAGAAGGAGGGTACAGCTTCGGGGTTCCCCGAGGCTACGATCGCAGCAATCGCGTTCCACCGGATTTGGGTCGAGAGGTGTGACGCGGTTTTCGAGCGCAGCAAATTCCGGGCGAGGAGGGCTCTGCGGAGGATCGTGGCGTCTTTCCAACTGCATGTCAGGATCTACAAGCGTGCTAAGGCGGTGTCTAAGAGGCTCGGCGCCATTCGTCCTGGCTTGGATGATGACGAGTGCCGGGTCTTGGGCCACATCATGGACAACTCAGCTCAACCAGCCACGTGGTCCAAGGGGTTCATGGCAATCTGGTCGAACCCGAGGGCTGCCTTCCGCCCCCCTAAGATGGTCAGGATGGGTACGGAGGGAGCAATCCCCCTAAGCCCATCAGCTACAGTTACGACTGCCGATGTATTGTTGCACTTATAGTGTATCTTTGCATCAAAAAAAAAAAAAAAAAAAAAAAAAAAAACCGGCAAATGGTGGGCGGACAGCACCGCACAGCACTACTTGTGCGTCGGGAGGCTCGGCATGCATCAACAGATTCGAAGGAACGTGCTATCTTCCTACCACCCTTTTCGCAACTACCAAAACTTTCGCCAACCAATCCCTGCCCGGGACTACTTGTGCTGTCCCTGGGTTCGCGCTCCGAGCGGGAACCAGTCGGGAACCAGTCTCGCACCCAGTTTGCCTGGGAGGAGGGGACAGCACAGCACTACTAGTTCAGCGTTCTTTAGCGCTAGGTTGGCCGCACAGCACAGCACAGCACTGGCCAGGTTCGGGAGAGGGTTCAAGGTCCCGAGCCTGATTCAAGGAATGCGCCCTTGAAATCGAATCTTCGAGGAGCACCGGTAGAGGCCCTCACGAAGCATCATCTAGTGCTGTGCGGAGGGGTCCGCACCAGTAGTGCGGCAACAGAACTGGGCCTAGGTGTAGTGACATGGAGTATGTGCTGGGATATCTAACAGCGCATTGCCACGCAAGGCTCCCAAGTCAGCTAACTTCGCTGGAATCTTGGAGATACGAAGCACAGAGATCTGAGAGAGACTCGAGGCTGTTGCTGAATTTGTGTAGACATTGATTGGTGATTGGCTGGCGAGGCCCCGAAAGTAGAATCCCCACGTAAAAATGTGCAAGGACGGTCAGCTCCACTATATTGAAAATACTCGGCAAAATAGGTCCGTATGACCTCCCCTCAGATGCGATGAACACGGCAGGTGGGACCCTTTTCCACGACCGCGAGCATTTCATTCCGCAGAAACTCCCAGCATGTGAAAACGTTTAGTCACAAATACTTTAAAACCGTGCAGGATTGGCTCGATCCGGGCAGGAAGTTTTCCACAAAAGTTCCACAAATGCATGCAATGCAGACAGGGGATTCCTTGAACCGACCAACCACTCACCAGACCATGCATGATTCTCCCCTTTCTCCTTGCCTCGCAGCATGTTTCATGGTGATTCTGATTCCTACACACCATAACACCTCACTTTTCATTCTTTCTTGTAGCTCCATCAGTAAATCTCTGCAGAAGAGCTTTCCGCTTTGCAACTGCATCACCTGACAATCTCAAGGGACGATTGCCTGGACTATTTTTGTACGGCCTCTGAAACTCAGCATCTGCCCTTGCTTAGCTCTTTGCTCATGCGGCATGAAGTAGTCGATTGCTCGTCTCGTCATGTCATGGCCAGCAGACGAATCCCCACTCCTTCGCAGCATAAAAACAGCACAGTTCCCTTGAGATCACCGATCGACAGTGCGTCTCCTGACTGCTGATGCCACGTGGCAGATGAATTCCCCCATGTCTTTCCTCAACTCCCACCACGTGCAGGGCGTGGTGCTTCTGCTGCTAGTCCTCGTCTGCTGCTCCCTTGCCATTCAAGTCCCTGGCAACTCCTTCACCGTCGATCTGAATCCCAACGCTTTTGTTGAACCTCTGAGTGAACGCTTCAAAACCACAGCTGACTTGCAATCAGACAAAGCCGGTTCTGCAACTGAAGGTGACAATTTCGACTTCCGGAACCAGGAATCCAGTATTTCTTTCTTATTTCACTGCAAACTGCCTAGTGTAATGTCTTATGTCATCGTCTTTCGTTACCTATCGGATTCTAGCCTCCACCGTTTTCCAGTTTCCGTTCTTTGCGTCCGAGTCATTTCATACCAAGACCTGTAGATTTGCGTCCCGCCTTCGTTCCCTGCATTTATGGGGTACCAACTTCTTGAACGTCTTGCATATCTTTTCCAGCTTTCTATATCCGACATGTGATGCATGATTGTCGCCGTGCTGCCTCTGCACTTCCAAGCTTATTTTTTCAACGTCCTTCACTGTAATCGCGGTTTCTTGCAGTGACAAAAATGGCTACTTTCCCTGACGTGGTGGTGGTGGGAGGCGGCCTCGCGGGCCTGTCTGCGGCCGTGGAAGTCGTCAAGCGAGGTGGATCCGTCCTCGTCCTCGAGAAGAGCGAGCGGTCAGTTGCTAAACGAACGGGCATTTGTCGAGTGAGGTTTGAGTTGCTGCAATTCTTTTTTTCCTTCTCTCTTCTATTTATCTCTCCAGTGGGTCATGTCTTCCGTCGTACATTCGTGACTCCTAAGTTCCCGATAGTTTTCTGTCGTAGTGACCTCTTGATTGTGATCCGATCCTTGTGTGTGTGATTGGCTTGCAGGCTCGGCGGTAACTCTGGCAAGGCGAGCTCTGGTGAGCTTCCATCCATCCGTCTTTCGTTGCTGTTTTCACCCTGACTTTTGCATCACAATGTTCGGAAAACAAATATTTGCTCTAAATGGGGTTATGAATTATGACATCTGTGCGTCATGTTCCCTCGCGTCAAGCGTTTGGAACTGCAATGTTGTATTAATCCCGTGATTCCTTCTCCTTTTATTCTTTCCACTTCAGGAATGAACGCCGCTCGCAGCGGGCCCCAGCTGGCCAGTGGCATCGAGGACAAGCTGGAGGATTTTGCCAAGGACACCCAGAAGTGAGTCCCTTCTTCGACTGCGGCTGTTCCGTTCCTTGTTTCCCTCGCTCTTTTCTGCCATCTCATGGAGCTTATAACTTTTTTTTTTGGGTAACGGTCCGTCATTGACGTCGTCTCGTGTTGTTGTCCTCTAATTATCTCATCGCACGTTTCACGCGTTCCTTCCTGCTCGTGGCAGGTCCGGCAAGGGCCTGTCGGACATGGCGTTGGTGGACGTGATCGTGAAGCAGAGCGCGGACGCCGTTGCGTTCCTCGAGGGCTTCCAGATCGACCTTTCCAGCATCGCACAGCTCGGCGGCCACTCGGTTAGTCTGCAGCTCTCGTAATTATTTTTCTACCCAGTTCGTGAAACCCTGGTTCTCTTTGCACGTCCTTGTTTTCGTGGACCATAGACTTGAGAAACTCATGTATGTAGGAATGCCTTCTTTCTTTCTTTCTTTCATCTAACTTGCTTTTCCTCTTCACCCCCTTCTTCTCCCTGCTGCTTCGCCCCTTGCTCGCCGCCGCTGCTGCCGCTGCTGCCGCTGCGTCGGAGCAGCATCCGCGCACGCACAGATCCAAGCCCGACGGCAAGCCCATGAACATTGGTTTCCGCATCATGTCCGTGCTCATCAAATACGTCGAGGCTCTCCCTGCTGACAAGGTACGTTGATTGCCACCCAAATCCGTTGCTTACACTTTCACTTAATGGTTGAATTTATGGTGGGTTGTTTGTTTGGAAGGGGAGGTGGGTTTTTGCCGTCTATCATGCGAAACTCGACTCTGGTTCGACCCTGTCTTACGCACCGCAAATCCTTGTCTTTTAACTCTGGGAATGACGTCGTTTGCTGTGCCTCGTACTTTACCTCCCTGTTGCTTCTCCGTCCTTGCTGTTTGTCTTTCCTCATTCGATCACCTTCGCTGGTCTCATTATCGTCTGTCCTCTCGTCTCTCTCTGTGCGCCTTCCAGGCCAAGGTGGTGAAGCAGGCCCGGGTGACCGCGCTTCTCACAGACGACAGCGGCGCCGTCACCGGCGTGAAGTACGAGACCCCCGCGGCTGACGGCTCTGTAAGTGGACGGGTATTGGCACGCACAGCTCACGAACCTCTCACGCACAGCTCACGCACATCCATTGGCCGATCCACGCTCACGTTCAAGAACCGCCCTGTGGTGCTTTGTGAAACTACATAAGAGAAACCGCCCGTTCATGGAAGCTATTGAAGAACCGTCTGTGATAGGAGAACAAAAACAGAAAAGTCGCCCACTCTCACCATCACCCTCCTTCCATCTTTCTTATGTCGAGAAGGGCGAGAACGAGGTGCATAGATCCGCGCCGTAGTCATGCTCGCGACAGGCGGCTACTCCGCAGATAAAGTCTAGGGGGGCCTGCTGGACCAGCACACTTGCTGGGCCTGCTGGTTTGAGGCGCCTCAAAATCCACGGCCAGGTGGACTCACTTGAACCCTCTCGGACCAGCACACAACTTAACTTCGCAACCGCGCTTTCCCTTACCCGACGACACCCTTCTGCCATGCTCTTCCCTCTTCCTCAGGGCGGCAAGGAGGAGACGGAGGTGAAGGCGTCCGCGGTCATCCTCGCAACAGGCGGCTATTCGGCAGACAAGGCCGAGGGAGGTCTGCTCGACCAGCACACGCCCAAGCTGCGCAACCTGGCGACCACCAACGGTCCCTTCGCGACGGGGGACGGCGTGCGACTGGGATTGGCGGCGGGCGCGGGGCTGATCCACATGGACCAGGTGCAGCTGCACCCGACGGGGTACGTGGACCCCAAGGACCCGCGCAACCCCGTCAAGTTCCTCGCGCCCGAAGCCCTGCGCGGATGCGGCGGGATTCTTCTGAATGAGAAGGGCGACCGATTCGTCAACGAGCTCACCACGAGAGATGCGGTGAGTGCATGATAGGGCTGCCGAGGGAAGGAAAGAAGGGGGGGGGGGGGGGGGGGAACGAGCTGAAAGGGTGGGCGGTGAGTGAGCAGGGTGGGAAGTGGGAAGTGGGAAGTGTGGGCAGGGCGGGCAGGGCAGGAAGGGCGGGACAGGGAGGGACAGTGGTTGACATTGCTGAATGATACTGGCTTGTGTTGCAGCCTTACTCCCCAACCCAACCCATGTGCTTCTGTCACCACCCTGCCCGGCGCTCCCCATCCCACTCTTTTTCTTGTCTATCACCGCCCCGCCTCGTTTTCCTAATAACCACGGTTCGCTCCCCGAGGTGTTTGCTTACTAGGCACCTCAAACCCAACCCCCCCCACTTCCCCTTCTCTCCCCGCACCAGGTGGTGGAGGTGATTCTGAAGCACTGCGGCCCGCTCCCCGAGGTGCCAGACGCGCCAGCATGGTGTGGAGACCTTCCTCGTGCAGTCTGCTTTTGAAGCGACTAAACAGACTTCACAACCTGATTTTCCCACTACCCCTTCTTCGCCCCCCACCAGGTCGTGGAGGCCATTCTGAAGTACTGCGGGCCGCTGCCCGAGGTGCCAGACGCGCCAGCAGGGGGCGCGGACATGCCGGCGGTGTCGTACCTGATTCTGAACCAGGAGGCCATCAACAAGTTCGACCCTCTCTCGTGCCAGTTCTACATTGGCAAGGGGCTCATTCGCAAGGTGAGACAAGAAAGTGGTGCAAGAGAGTGAGGGAGGAGGGGGGTGGTGGACGGTGCAGAGGGAGGGTGGATTGAAGTGGGAGGCATGGAACAGCGTTTTGAACATGGGGAGCGAGAAGAGGGGACATGCCTGCGGTGTCGTACCTGATTCTGAACCAGGAGGCCATTAACAAGTTCGACCCACTCTCCTGCCAGTTCTACATCGGCAAGGGGCTCAGCCGTAAGGTGGGGCCAGCGGGTGAAAAAGGAGGGTGAGGGGGGCGGGGTGAGAAAGGCAGGTGGACGGGTGTTCATTCAGGCAGTGCCTAGAGCAATGGAAAACATTTGAGGAGGATGCGCAACCAGTTGTGGTTTCAAGGAGGCATCACCTACTATGTTTCCACCCAGCCCACCTCACCTTGTTCCTTCAGTCTTTACTCTCCTCGGTTCTCGAGACTCAACTTTCCTCCCGCTCCTCCCCTGTCCCCCACCTCTTCGCCCTGGTGTGCTCTAACCCTCTCAGTTTGACAGTGTGGAGGCACTGAGCGAGGGCACCAAGCTGCCAGCAGCCAACGTGAAGGCTGCTCTGGACTCGTATGGCCACCACGACGCAGAGAAGGGTGACCCCTTTGGCAAGACCGTCTTCCCTGTGCTCTTCAAGTGAGTGCCGCCTTCCATCTTCCCTGTTCTCTTCAAGTGAGTGCCGCCTTCCATCTTCCCTGTGCTCTTCAAGTGAGTGCCGCCTTCCATCTTCCCTGTTCTCTTCAAGTGAGTGCCGCCTTCCATCTTCCCTGTTCTCTTCAAGTGAGTGCCGCCTTCCATCTTCCCTGTTCTCTTCAAGTGAGTGCCGCCTTCCATCTTCCCTGTGCTCTTCAAGTGAGTGCCGCCTTCCATCTTCCCTGTTCTCTTCAAGTGAGTGCCGCCTTCCATCTTCCCTGTTCTATTCAAGTGAGTGCCGCCTTCCATCTTCCCTGTTCTCTTCAAGTGAGTGCCGCCTTCCATCTTCCCTGTTCTCTTCAAGTGAGTGCCGCCTTCCATCTTCCCTGTTCTCTTCAAGTGAGTGCCGCCTTCCATCTTCCCTGTTCTCTTCAAGTGAGTGCCGCCTTCCATCTTCCCTGTTCTCTTCAAGTGAGTGCCGCCTTCCATCTTCCCTGTTCTCTTCAAGTGAGTGCCGCCTTCCATCTTCCCTGTTCTCTTCAAGTGAGTGCCGCCTTCCATCTTCCCTGTTCTCTTCAAGTGAGTGCCGCCTTCCATCTTCCCTGTTCTCTTCAAGTGAGTGCCGCCTTCCATCTTCCCTGTTCTCTTCAAGTGAGTGCCGCCTTCCATCTTCCCTGTGCTCTTCAAGTGAGTGCCGCCTTCCATCTTCCCTGTTCTCTTCAAGTGAGTGCCGCCTTCCATCTTCCCTGTTCCCTTCAAGTGAGTGCCGCCTTCCATCTTCCCTGTTCTCTTCAAGTGAGTGCCGCCTTCCATCTTCCCTGTTCTCTTCAAGTGAGTGCCGCCTTCCATCTTCCCTGTGCTCTTCAAGTGAGTGCCGCCTTCCATCTTCCCTGTGCTCTTCAAGTGAGTGCCGCCTTCCATCTTCCCTGTTCTCTTCAAGTGAGTGCCGCCTTCCATCTTCCCTGTTGTCTTCAAGTGAGTGCCGCCTTCCATCTTCCCTGTTCTCTTCAAGTGAGTGCCGCCTTCCATCTTCCCTGTTCTCTTCAAGTGAGTGCCGCCTTCCATCTTCCCTGTTCTCTTCAAGTGAGTGCCGCCTTCCATCTTCCCTGTTCTCTTCAAGTGAGTGCCGCCTTCCATCTTCCCTGTTCTCTTCAAGTGAGTGCCGCCTTCCATCTTCCCTGTTCTCTTCAAGTGAGTGCCGCCTTCCATCTTCCCTGTGCTCTTCAAGTGAGTGCCGCCTTCCATCTTCCCTGTTCTCTTCAAGTGAGTGCCGCCTTCCATCTTCCCTGTTCCCTTCAAGTGAGTGCCGCCTTCCATCTTCCCTGTTCTCTTCAAGTGAGTGCCGCCTTCCATCTTCCCTGTTCTCTTCAAGTGAGTGCCGCCTTCCATCTTCCCTGTTCTCTTCAAGTGAGTGCCGCCTTCCATCTTCCCTGTTCCCTTCAAGTGAGTGCCGCCTTCCATCTTCCCTGTTCTCTTCAAGTGAGTGCCGCCTTCCATCTTCCCTGTTCTCTTCAAGTGAGTGCCGCCTTCCATCTTCCCTGTGCTCTTCAAGTGAGTGCCGCCTTCCATCTTCCCTGTGCTCTTCAAGTGAGTGCCGCCTTCCATCTTCCCTGTTCTCTTCAAGTGAGTGCCGCCTTCCATCTTCCCTGTTGTCTTCAAGTGAGTGCCGCCTTCCATCTTCCCTGTTCTCTTCAAGTGAGTGCCGCCTTCCATCTTCCCTGTTCTCTTCAAGTGAGTGCCGCCTTCCATCTTCCCTGTTCTCTTCAAGTGAGTGCCGCCTTCCATCTTCCCTGTTCTCTTCAAGTGAGTGCCGCCTTCCATCTTCCCTGTTCTCTTCAAGTGAGTGCCGCCTTCCATCTTCCCTGTTCTCTTCAAGTGAGTGCCGCCTTCCATCTTCCCTGTTCTCTTCAAGTGAGTGCCGCCTTCCATCTTCCCTGTTCTCTTCAAGTGAGTGCCGCCTTCCATCTTCCCTGTTCTCTTCAAGTGAGTGCCGCCTTCCATCTTCCCTGTTCTCTTCAAGTGAGTGCCGCCTTCCATCTTCCCTGTTCTCTTCAAGTGAGTGCCGCCTTCCATCTTCCCTGTGCTCTTCAAGTGAGTGCCGCCTTCCATCTTCCCTGTTCTCTTCAAGTGAGTGCCGCCTTCCATCTTCCCTGTTCCCTTCAAGTGAGTGCCGCCTTCCATCTTCCCTGTTCTCTTCAAGTGAGTGCCGCCTTCCATCTTCCCTGTTCTCTTCAAGTGAGTGCCGCCTTCCATCTTCCCTGTGCTCTTCAAGTGAGTGCCGCCTTCCATCTTCCCTGTGCTCTTCAAGTGAGTGCCGCCTTCCATCTTCCCTGTTCTCTTCAAGTGAGTGCCGCCTTCCATCTTCCCTGTTCTCTTCAAGTGAGTGCCGCCTTCCATCTTCCCTGTGCTCTTCAAGTGAGTGCCGCCTTCCATCTTCCCTGTGCTCTTCAAGTGAGTGCCGCCTTCCATCTTCCCTGTTGTCTTCAAGTGAGTGCCGCCTTCCATCTTCCCTGTTCTCTTCAAGTGAGTGCCGCCTTCCATCTTCCCTGTTCTCTTCAAGTGAGTGCCGCCTTCCATCTTCCCTGTTCTCTTCAAGTGAGTGCCGCCTTCCATCTTCCCTGTTCTCTTCAAGTGAGTGCCGCCTTCCATCTTCCCTGTTCTCTTCAAGTGAGTGCCGCCTTCCATCTTCCCTGTTCTCTTCAAGTGAGTGCCGCCTTCCATCTTCCCTGTTCTCTTCAAGTGAGTGCCGCCTTCCATCTTCCCTGTTCTCTTCAAGTGAGTGCCGCCTTCCATCTTCCCTGTGCTCTTCAAGTGAGTGCCGCCTTCCATCTTCCCTGTTCTCTTCAAGTGAGTGCCGCCTTCCATCTTCCCTGTGCTCTTCAAGTGAGTGCCGCCTTCCATCTTCCCTGTTCTCTTCAAGTGAGTGCCGCCTTCCATCTTCCCTGTTCTCTTCAAGTGAGTGCCGCCTTCCATCTTCCCTGTTCTCTTCAAGTGAGTGCCGCCTTCCATCTTCCCTGTGCTCTTCAAGTGAGTGCCGCCTTCCATCTTCCCTGTTCTCTTCAAGTGAGTGCCGCCTTCCATCTTCCCTGTTCTCTTCAAGTGAGTGCCGCCTTCCATCTTCCCTGTTCTCTTCAAGTGAGTGCCGCCTTCCATCTTCCCTGTTCTCTTCAAGTGAGTGCCGCCTTCCATCTTCCCTGTTCTCTTCAAGTGAGTGCCGCCTTCCATCTTCCCTGTGCTCTTCAAGTGAGTGCCGCCTTCCATCTTCCCTGTTCTCTTCAAGTGAGTGCCGCCTTCCATCTTCCCTGTGCTCTTCAAGTGAGTGCCGCCTTCCATCTTCCCTGTTCTCTTCAAGTGAGTGCCGCCTTCCATCTTCCCTGTTCTCTTCAAGTGAGTGCCGCCTTCCATCTTCCCTGTTCTCTTCAAGTGAGTGCCGCCTTCCATCTTCCCTGTGCTCTTCAAGTGAGTGCCGCCTTCCATCTTCCCTGTTCTCTTCAAGTGAGTGCCGCCTTCCATCTTCCCTGTTCTCTTCAAGTGAGTGCCGCCTTCCATCTTCCCTGTTCTCTTCAAGTGAGTGCCGCCTTCCATCTTCCCTGTTCTCTTCAAGTGAGTGCCGCCTTCCATCTTCCCTGTGCTCTTCAAGTGAGTGCCGCCTTCCATCTTCCCTGTGCTCTTCAAGTGAGTGCCGCCTTCCATCTTCCCTGTTCTCTTCAAGTGAGTGCCGCCTTCCATCTTCCCTGTTCCCTTCAACTGAGTGCCGCCTTCCATCTTCCCTGTTCTCTTCAAGTGAGTGCCGCCTTCCATCTTCCCTGTTCTCTTCAAGTGAGTGCCGCCTTCCATCTTCCCTGTGCTCTTCAAGTGAGTGCCGCCTTCCATCTTCCCTGTGCTCTTCAAGTGAGTGCCGCCTTCCATCTTCCCTGTTCTCTTCAAGTGAGTGCCGCCTTCCATCTTCCCTGTTCTCTTCAAGTGAGTGCCGCCTTCCATCTTTCCTGTTCTCTTCAAGTGAGTGCCGCCTTCCATCTTCCCTGTTCTCTTCAAGTGAGTGCCGCCTTCCATCTTCCCTGTGCTCTTCAAGTGAGTGCCGCCTTCCATCTTCCCTGTGCTCTTCAAGTGAGTGCCGCCTTCCATCTTCCCTGTTCTCTTCAAGTGAGTGCCGCCTTCCATCTTCCCTGTTCTCTTCAAGTGAGTGCCGCCTTCCATCTTCCCTGTTCTCTTCAAGTGAGTGCCGCCTTCCATCTTCCCTGTTCTCTTCAAGTGAGTGCCGCCTTCCATCTTCCCTGTTCTCTTCAAGTGAGTGCCGCCTTCCATCTTCCCTGTTCTCTTCAAGTGAGTGCCGCCTTCCATCTTCCCTGTTCTCTTCAAGTGAGTGCCGCCTTCCATCTTCCCTGTTCTCTTCAAGTGAGTGCCGCCTTCCATCTTCCCTGTGCTCTTCAAGTGAGTGCCGCCTTCCATCTTCCCTGTTCTCTTCAAGTGAGTGCCGCCTTCCATCTTCCCTGTTCCCTTCAAGTGAGTGCCGCCTTCCATCTTCCCTGTTCTCTTCAAGTGAGTGCCGCCTTCCATCTTCCCTGTTCTCTTCAAGTGAGTGCCGCCTTCCATCTTCCCTGTGCTCTTCAAGTGAGTGCCGCCTTCCATCTTCCCTGTGCTCTTCAAGTGAGTGCCGCCTTCCATCTTCCCTGTTCTCTTCAAGTGAGTGCCGCCTTCCATCTTCCCTGTTCTCTTCAAGTGAGTGCCGCCTTCCATCTTCCCTGTTCTCTTCAAGTGAGTGCCGCCTTCCATCTTCCCTGTTCTCTTCAAGTGAGTGCCGCCTTCCATCTTCCCTGTTCTCTTCAAGTGAGTGCCGCCTTCCATCTTCCCTGTGCTCTTCAAGTGAGTGCCGCCTTCCATCTTCCCTGTTCTCTTCAAGTGAGTGCCGCCTTCCATCTTCCCTGTTCTCTTCAAGTGAGTGCCGCCTTCCATCTTCCCTGTTCTCTTCAAGTGAGTGCCGCCTTCCATCTTCCCTGTTCTCT